AAGGGTGTGAATGAGTGCTTCGTGACCCTGGGTACCCATTGCTTACAACCCTTCAAGGTATAATGAAGAGCAAAAGCATGGGCAGCAGTTGGTTCTGAGAGACTTACTGCTACAGGTTCTTGCAGAGTACAGGCTTCTGATAGCTCAAACCCATCCTTTGGAGAAGCAACAGAACATTACCAGCTGTTACAGCTATGCTATAGAAGTACTCCTGTTTACTAGTTCTGATGGTCACCTGTGCAACTTAGTTGCTGCTTGTTTTCAAGCAGCAAAGCCTATTGGGAGAAGTATTTTTGAAGTAATTATCTCCCAGAATTCAACTGAAGGTGAAGCATTTTGATTTTCAGTCATGTCTTCTCTACTTACTTTTTTTGAAGTAAAGTTACGAATTTTCTTGCTTATTTCTGAGTTGCTTTGAATTCTGCCTTAACTCTGAGTGACTGCAGGAGAATGTTTTCCTTTTCTTTTTTGTATCTTGAAGACTCTTGGGTGTTGTGGCTTGCAGTAAAGAAGGTGCAAAATTTTCTCCCTCTCTAGCTCTGCCCCTTGAAAAAAAAATCAAAACCCCCACAATTCCAACACAGTAGGGTAGGAAGGACCAATGCTGGGAAGTTAGATCAAGCCCTTGAAAGTTGATGCATAAATTCCAGCTGTTCTGATGCTGTATTGCTCAAAAGGAGACTTTGCACTCTGACTCCTTTCCTCGTCTTGTAATTAATTCCTTTTTATTGTGATCTGTGTCCAGTGGTTCTGAGTGCCACAGTTTCTGCTTATCAAGGAATCCCATTGGAAAAATCTTTTATTTCCATTTAATTTTACTTCTTCCATTCTTTCTTTTAAAAGATAAGGTAATATTTAGATAAGTAGGAAGATGACTTTTTAAGAGGGTAGAGTTTTTATTATGTGCAGGCCATGCAAAACAGATCTTACAGTTTTTAGTTTGATAAACAATATCTGATACTGTGGTGCATCTCTTGATTTCTTTGCTAGATGAGCCTAAAAATTAAACTCTTTTCTAGAAGCAGATCAGGTATTATTTTTTTACAGCCTTTTTGCTAATTTTTGGTGTGTTTTTTTTAATTCCCTTGGCTTGTATATTTACTAAAATAAAATAAAAACAACCAACAAACAAAAACCTGACATACAAGCTCTGATGACTGCAGTTTTAAAATCATGGAAGAGGGGAGAACAAAAGAGTAACTGAGATGCCATGAGAGTAAGCTTCTGTTCTAAAAACTAAAGTAGCAAAATGAACTGTTTCAGCATCTCTGCTCAGTTTGTCCCTACATTCCTGTAAGAATGGTCATTTTTTTGAGCTTCATAGTAGAAAAAGGTTGGTACTAAAGCTGGCAAAGGAACCTCTCTGTGCTGCTGGGCAGCCCTGTACGTTCCGTATCACAGCTCTTTGGAACATTTCCCAATGTCTTTTTAAAATGATTGCATTACAGCTTAATTATGGGTAAAATCTGCCCACGTTGGCTGGAACCAGAAGGAATGTGTAACTAGGGAACAGAGTGCTAGAAGAAGCAGCAGCAGCAGTGGCAGAAGGGCTTTTGGTGTATGAGATGAACGTAACTTCTTGGCTTAAACCAAAAGCATCCAAGGTGAGGCTGCTCTCTGGGGTTTGGCTGTGTGGTGTTGGACAGTGGTTTGCCCTAGCTGGGGAATTTGTTGTTTTTACCTTGTATGGTGATGCAAGTTAAATACAGCAACATGCCACTTGTATGGTTTTTGGTGTAAATCTTCATGTACACTAATGACACTGATATTTTCTTGGTGTGCAGATTTCTTTGCTCAGAGTATTCTTTGATGGAGTTTTGTCGGAAGCTATGGGAGAAAACACCCTTGAAAAAGTGAGGAGAGAGGATGCATGCCTGGCCTAGAGCTAGCAAGGGTCTGAAAAGGGTTTTGAAGAGCATTAAGCCCTCAGCTACTTTGATGCTGTGCTGCAAGGGAAAGTCAAGCAATTACAGCCCTAACCAGTGTGCAGCACAGGTCTCAAGTCAGACCTCAGCCGTGCAGTCTGCACCTGTGTGATTTCTGCAAGAGATGCTCTTTTCTCCATAGCTAATTTGTAATGACTTGCTAGGTGGACACCAGTGTATCAGATTTTTGTGTGGCAACTCTACTTCAGCAGTTAAAAATAACTATCCTGGTTCTGAGATCTAATCTGTGTTTTCGAAAAGCTTCTAAAACATGGACATGCAAATGTTTCTGGGCTTTTTCTTCCTTCTGGAGAGAACAGCATTGCATGTTGCATTACAGACCAGTGAAAGCTATGTGATCCTTTGCAATCAAGCTTTCTGATTTGTGAATGACTCGTATCAGACCCAGTAGCTTTCCAAACTTCTGTATCCCACTGTGAGGTTGTGCAAAATAAGAAGTAATTGATAAAAGAAACTTTCTGTCAGTAATTACTTTTAAATGCTATAGGTATTGGAGTGCTTTACATGGCATAATTCAAATTAAACTGTAACCAAAATACAGCTTGTACTTAGCCATGCAAGTGTGCTTGGCAGGAAGTGGTAGCATAGGCTACCAGGCTTGCTCCACAAATGTTTGCAGCCCACCACTTCCTGTTACCAAAGTGAAACAACAAAAGAAACACCAATTTCTAGTTCATTTTAGCCTCTAAAAAATTGCAGTTACATTTGTTGAACTTCTTAGTATCGTAATAACAGAGGTATTTATGGCTTTCCCTTTATATTATTTTTTTACCTTTGAAATTCATCTTCATTTAAGAATTTGGGTGAAGTTTCTGATAAGAATCTGAAGTTCCAAGAAGATATTTTTCGTGCACATCCTGGGTTTTAGATGTGATCAAAGGAATGGTTGTATAAATGATTTTGGTGCTGTGAGGGGAATGACTAACCACAAGAAACCGGCCTGTACTAGGCATAGGTTGGTGCACATAGGTATCCAACTGCAGTGTAAGCTTGCTTGCTTGCTCTGAAAGCCATCCCTACAGGAGTCTGTTGCTGTGCCTGCTGATGTGTCTTAGCTTCAGTAGGTGACAGTACTTTCTGAATTATCTTTAGGAGTCTCTGAACGTCGTTTTCCTGGTAGGTATTATGCTTAAATCTAAGACTTTGGGCCTAGACACAAAGGAACTTTTGAAATGGATTTAATTTTCTGTTGTCTGCGATATAAAACACCTTCCAGAAAAATCTGTACCTGTGCTTTTAAGGCCAAAAGAAAATGTACTCAGAGCAAAGGTTATTTGTTTTCAGAACTGAGTACAATTACCTCTGATTTCAGCAGGTGTTGCACCGAGTAAGGAGAAAAATCTTTATAAGGGAGATGGAAAGTCCTATCAAATGTAGAACGTAAACACTTGCCAAACTCTTGTTACATGTAATAAGGATTTTTTTTTTAAGTACACATTATTCTTGTGTAATTTCTAGAAGAATGCAAATTAATGAGAACATCTTTTTGCCGGTAAATCTATTAATGAATCTTGAGAAATTGCAATTGCAGCAGTAGATGTTGCATTTTAAATTAAGGCAGTTAATTTCATGTGCTGTTAAAAGTGCTGATGTGATATTTCTTCTCATAATTTGTATTATAACTAATGGTCTAAACTACATATCCATGACATACCAAGATTAAGTTGCTGAAACTTGGTATTTTCAGTATATTAAAATATTAATATCGCATGTGAGAAGAATGAAAGTAAAAGAGTTAATGAATATCTGTATTTCATATTCAAATGGTACTGTAGTATATTTAAAAATCCCTTAGCTTCCTTTTTAAGTGATGGATGAATGCTAAAGCTAGAAATAGCATTTTTCCAATTAAGATACTCTTGATAATTGTCACTTAAATTACATCTGAGGGAAAAAGAAATTAAATAAAATAACCTGCCCTCCCCATAATCTTTTACAAACTATGACTAAATATCAAGTAACCATTTAAGATTCAGTGAATAAAAAATGGGCCATTAATTTCAAAACAAATTAATTGGTGGGCACATGGGGGTGGCTGTCATGGTATTTAAGAATCTGGCAGTTATGTAGTGGGACTTGAACAGTCTCAATTTGAGCTATGTTGTGTAAGTTTAGAGATGCAAAGGTTAAAATAGTCCAGGGTAAAGGTTAGTCTCTTTGGAAGTCTTGGCTTTGATTCATAGATCCAGTTGATCCCTCTAAACCTTAAAAGACATTATTAAGCCCTTCCTAATGAATACATTTTTTTCCTCACCCGTGACTTAAAATCTGTCTTCAAAATCAATCTCAAAACTGATTGGAGTTTCCCCTGTGGAAGTGTGAGAGGGGGAAATGAGAGAAGTGTTTTCTTGGTACTTTTTGAAGCTTCCTAGAAAACCTAAGTTACTCCTACTCTGGTGTTCTTCAGACGGTTCCATGTGTGATCTACTTCAGCCACCTTCAGTAACTACCTGTATAGCTTCTGACTTCTCTTCACCTTTTTTACTGTGATGTCTGATTAGACTGCATTATTGTCCTGGTTTGAGCCAGGATGAAGCCAATTTTTCTTTTTACTGATTTTTTTTATCTGGGGGGGGAGGGGATCGAGAGCATTGTTGTCGGACCTGAGTCAAACTGTGACAATTATACATCACTTTTCAGAAGCAGATACCCATTTTGAAAAATGAGGGTTCATAGTATCTATTTTTTCCTCAGAGCCAGAAGAGGTTCAAGGGAGTTGCTGTGAACTGCCAGGGCTACTCAAAAGTTGAGAAAAATGCACATTCCAACTAGTGACCTTATCAGTGTAGAATGGAAAAAATCCAAGATTAAATCATCTTCTCATAAGCTTGACTAACTCTAGTAGCAAGTCTGAGTTTGGTCTATTTTCATTGTGCAGAAGAATTTATCTTTTGATATGTTTGCACCTAAAGACCTTTGTACATCCTCGGCACTTTGTAGTGTTTAGAATAAATGATAATAATAATTATTTTGCCTAAGTTTGCTCTTACCAAATTGTTAAAAGGAAACCGAACACTTCCTTTTCATTTATTGCAAAACTTAGAGTCTCTCTTTCTCTGGCAGGAATCGACTTTAAGATCAGAACAATAGAATTAGATGGAAAGAAAATCAAGCTACAAATATGGTAAGTATTCCAAAGTAATTCTAGTTTTCAGTGAGTATTGAATTAAACTTTGAGCAGGAATACTTCATAGCTTTTGAGTCTGGTAGTACCAGAAGTTTCATACCTTTTATTCATTGACTGTTCATCAGGTTTGTGCTTCCTTCTAGCTTGCTCTTGGAATGGTTCTGCTTCAGTAGCACAGGAAATAGCCTGTTCTCGTGCGAACATTACAGCAACTTCCCGTTTTATCAAAAGCTGTCCTCTTCAATGCCCTTTAGCTGTTCCGTGGGGAAGAGAAGGATTAACTCCATAGCTGTAAACTGAAAGATGTGACCTAATAAAAAGTAACCTTCTCTGATGCTCTGATACCTAGTTGTATTCCCAAAGACACTGGTGAATGATAATGCTCCCATTCCTTGTGTGGTGGGTTAGGAGAGAGAGCCTCATGGTAGGAGCCGATGAGTATTTTTTGGGTAGTGTTATTACACGTGCCAAACTCTTACAGTGCTGCTGGTCAATGTAGGGCTCTTGGTGATTTCTCAGGCTCTAGCAAAGATAGTATGATGCTTGCATGCAAGCCAGAATTCTTTTGACTAGGGAAGTGGAGTGCCAGAAGTGGTTGATACAAACATTCTGTCTGTAATATAAGTCAAAAAGCTGGATTTTGTAGGCTTTGGGGTTCAGCTCCCCCTAGGTGTGACTAGCAGCCAGACATTTTGGTCCTTCTGTTCACTCAGAGGCAGATAGTGCTTTGAAGTACTCTAGGATAAAATATCAGCACACTGATGTATAGTTGCTGATTGTTAATAGCTGTATGTGCAAATGCGCTATCCTAAAATACTGCTGCATCTTTTAATTTTTGTTTAATGCAGGACTCGAATATATCAGAGCTGCCTTTTTAAATTATTCTAGGGAAGGCTGAGTAGTGCTGAGTTTTACTGCTTGCATGAAAATTTATTTTATTCTGTGCCATGTTTATGGTGCTGTTATAACCACTGATGTAAGTAGAATATCTTGGGAGTGAGGAAGATACTGAGAGCTGAGGAAACTTGTGCAAACAGCTTCTAAATAGTACTTTTTCTTGCTGAGTGAGCATCAATACCTGGTTACTCTGTTTACATCTCTTAAGTACAAAAGAGTATAAAGATTGCCTCCAACAAATACTTGTTTTCACTGAATTTTAGGGATACAGCAGGCCAGGAGAGATTCCGCACAATCACAACAGCTTACTACAGAGGAGCCATGGTGAGTGCTCTTCCTTCAACAAAATTAGGCACAACTAGTGTAACTGGTTTGCTGTTCTTAAGGTTATATCATGTAAGTCTTCAACTGGAGGATTGGGTAATTGTGGCTTGAGATGAGGGGAATAAAGTTTGTGGTTTGGTTGGGATTTTTTTCTTTTGTTTTTTTGCTTTTTAAACCTGCTTGTACTTCGCCTAGTCCTGTTTGTGTGACGAAACTTCGAGCGCTGTTGTCTTTTTAAATATAATTAAAATTTCTGCATATTGCAATAAGAAGCAAAGTTGCTAAGCTTTCATTAGACAACTTTTTTAGTGCAATCAACCCCTTTAAACATTTGACATGTTTGAAAAATAGGAAATTATTTTAATAATAAATGCATTTTGCTGAATTGCTTGTCCTTCAGTCAGCAGAGAATGCAAACTCTGGGCTAGAAATACTATAATCTACAAAAGCTACTCTTTATTTTTTTCCTTCATTAAGAATAACTTGAAGTCAAATAACTGACTTAGGGCCTGCACCCTTTGTGATACAACTGCCTGTAATGGTTCTTAATGCTATGATTTGAGATACTTTATGTTGGGACACTGATAATTTCAATTTGCTGGTTATTAGCCAGGCTGCTGCTACATATTGTTGCTTTGAATGAACAGTTCTGTTCCGCCCATAGGCTTGCTGTGGGCCCACTGTGATTCCACTGTTAGGAATCAGATGGGGAGAAATGTAATGGTTGAGGCTCTGATAGACCTTTCTAGCACTTAGGAGGGTTTTGGCAGTAACATGGTCTTCTCCCCACCTCTGTATCCATGGCCAAGGACTTTTCTGTGACTTCCAAGGCATGTTTGGAAAGGCAGTAAGGGATGGAGGTGAACCTGGCAAGGTGTCCTCCATGCAGGTGTTTTGTGGTTCCCATGCTTTGCTTATTGTTGAGAGCTATTACATGTATGTAACTGTCTGAAAGTGCTAAAACTTTGGGAAGAGCATCTAGTGTCAGCTTGGCTGTGAGGATGTGCAGATCCCAGCACACTGGATCTCACAAATTCATCATCTTTGACTGCTTAAACATGCCACTTCTAAACTTGACTTTATTGTAAAGTCTTGGTTACTGTTGTAGAATTTCTAAACTTTTCCTGACCATAGGCTGATAATTTAAAACTTCTTCTAGGTGATGTATTTGACCTCTAGCAGTGGCAAAGATGTTGAGAAGTAATATATATGGGTAAACTCTCAGCAATGTCATAGTGCTTTGAGAAAGTGTTATAGGTACATAAGTTGTATGTTGAATTTCTTGCAAGTAGAACAAACTAACAGCACATATGAAAAGTCAACCAGTAGTGCCAGATCATCTAACTAGGTGTTCTTCATTTTGTTTAGGGAATTATGCTGGTGTATGACATCACAAATGAAAAGTCTTTTGACAACATAAAAAACTGGATAAGAAACATAGAGGAGGTAGGTGCTTTGGAAAGTACTTCTTACTCATTCCTTCTTACGATTTCCCTGGTAAAAATAATAATAAGATAATTACTTTCATCACAGTAGCCAATATATATGGCCAAGTTAGACTGTGCAATGAATGCAGCTGTAGTTATTAAGGGGCAGAATTTTATCAAGTTAATCTAGGAATAGAAGGTAGAAAAATTAAGTTTAAAAAGTAAGCATTAAGTGTTTCAAATCTGCTCTACTATATTATTTTTATTGTTCTTTTTTGCTTTTGGGTGTGTCTAAGGAATGGGAAGGAACAAGGTCTTAGGGTGTTTATCTTTCAGTGAGATGATGACTTATCTGTCTAATTCCAGTTGTTACTGTGTTGTGTGATTGTTTGATGAGAGATTTTTAACCTTTCATTTGGTCTTGGGTAAGCTTCTTTCCTGCTAACCTATTGTCAATTATTTAACAGGACATACGTTCAAATAGGGATAGGTCATTATGAAGTTAGAGGTGAAACCTTAATTTTAGTGATACTCTTGTTAGATAACACACTCTTAATGTTGTTTTTTTCCTTAAACATAAAATCCACAGGCTTTTCTTCAGTGTTGTTCTTTGGCTCTTAAGCAAAATTCCTAATTTAGTGACCAATTTGATCCAATAGTGACTAGACTAGAAAAAGTCCTCTTGCTGAAGTTATCTTGTTTAAGTGATTACTACTTTAGAAGTCTTTTATTAATAATATCTTTAAAATGCAAATGTATCTCATAATGATACTCCAAATATCCCAGATGTCCATGCACCACTCTGAAGCAGTGTCTGTAGTGTTACATTTGTAGAATAGCTAAAATCCTGGGCACGTGTGCAACCTGGAAGCTCATGGGACTGTATTTGATCTGTAACAATATTCAAGAAAAAATTTATCTAGGAGCATTTATTGCAACCTATTTTAATATCTATATATTAAATTGCCTGTTTCAAAAGTCAATCTCTTTCTCAGTAATGCCTTGGCATTAGATAACTTTTAAAAACAAAATGCTCACTTGGGGGTGTGTTTGACAAATACATTTCTTTTAAATAATGATGCCCTTTTTTCTGAGAGATTACTTTTTCTTTCAGCATGCCTCTTCAGATGTAGAAAGAATGATCCTAGGTAACAAATGTGATATGAATGAAAAAAGACAAGTCTCAAAAGAAAAAGGGGAGAAGGTAAGCTGTGGTGACTTCCCTTGTATAGAAGCCTACTTCTGGTAGGATGTTGGTGCTGCATATTTGGTGTGTTTTAGGCATATGAGAGATAATGGGCATCAGACCTCTTGTTTCAGAAACCTTTCTGTACTGTAGGATAGCAGGCTTGGGTTTTTTGTTTTTAAAAGGCTCTTGGATG